TTTTTTTTTTTTTTTTTTTTTGCAAAAAAAAAAATTTGGTTTTTTTTTTTTCCCCCCAAACCCCGGGGGGGGGGGGGGGGCAGCTGCCCCCCCTGCCCCCCCGGAGGCTACGGCCCTGTACTTGCACGACTCAAATAAAGTCGACATGCCAAGGGATAAACCGAATAAATCACTTCGTTCAAATATCACTTTTCGGGCAAAAAATGAAACGATATCCTTTGGTATTTGTCTAAGTAATAGTATTTGAAACTACATGGCGGCATTTGGTAGGGAAGATGCAGAAGATACAGACACTGTTATGCTTACTTTTGCTTAACAGTGGACACCAGTATGTGATAGGTTAGATATTTATTGTATGATACGGAAACTGGAAATTTTAGTATGAATTTTCAAAGAAAAAGCCATTTTTCAGGGGTGGTTGGGTGAGGGATGTGCGTTTTGAAGGCAAACCGTTTTAACGTTAAACTTAAAATCAAAATTAATACATAAATTTGTTAATTTGTAGGTCCACCACAATCACCGGCCATTTTATCCATTACCCAAACGCAGCTCTACACCATATTGGTCACCTGGGTGGCAGGCCATGATGGCGGCTTTGACCAAACCTTTACCCTAGACATTAAGGAGGCTAGTGATGACGATAGTAACTACGTCACCAAAATGACCTTGGCCGACCCAGGTCACCGCAATAATGTGACGTCACTTCTAGCAGATCTAAAAATTGGCGTTAATTACACATTAAAGCTGGCGTCAACCAGTACCAAGCCCGTAGGGGTCAATAACGCATCGGTTACATCCAAGTTCATAAATGGTTAGTTCTCGGCATTATGCCTAACTCTTCAATTGTAAGTTATTTAAGAGTTGAAGTAAATGACTGATTAAAATGGATATTCGCTAATGTTGACGAACCCGAGATACTTAAAGTAGTAGACTTGTTTTATGTTGTCGTTTTCACGTGTGATGTTACAATGTGATAGGTGTGGTTTCTTTAACTTTATACCATGCATTCCGTTTTACCGGTACTAGTACACCAATAAACTTTTAAAAGTTATCAATTGATGTGTCTCGCTTTCAAAATTCGTGATCATGTAACAAAACAGTTAAAGGGGTAATAACTGTTCCTTTTGGCCAAAAAAATGAATTTTCCTGGAGTAAACAACAATTTTCCATGCTTACAATGGTTAATGAATCCTGTCTACATTCAAAGTTAGTCCCTGATTTTTTTCTAAAAAGTTTTTTTTTTTTTTTTTTTTTTGTACTAATCTCTTAAGAGATTATTACAGAATATAGCCATCTATGGATGGCAGGCTCAGATATCGGAATAATAGCTATAACTGCTGTGTTTGTGGTAAAATAGAATATATTATATTTCTATGAGATGTTTACAATGTTTTTGTTGTGAAATATAGATATCATACGAAGATCGAGTTATTATCCCTTTAAAGACTGTGTCTCGACCACTGCTTGGCTATGTTCGACCTCGCCCAAAGTCAACAATTGTATTTTCTTATATATAATATTTTATTATCTTATTAGAAGGCAGAAAGGACTGTGCACAACTCTACATGTGTATCAGATTCTCCCGGCAGACAGTGCAGGTTCATTTGAAGTCTTCTGTGACATGACCACTGACGGGGGAGGATGGACGGTAATACTAGAATTTTAGCGTTTATTGATTAACCTTGTATTAATTATGCATTCGTTAAGCCATAATCATTTCTGTTTTTGTTATTTTTTTTATATTTTGATTTTCTAGTGGGCGATTTTTTTCGGAAACTGTCAAGTCATCATGTTAAGGGTTTTAATTGAGGACAGTATCATTAATTTTTTTCTTTCTTTTTAAACACATAAAACATGAGAAAATTAATTGCATCGGAAATATCTTTATTCTTTTTACCTTTCAGTTGTTCCAGAAGCGCATGGACGATTCCGTGGACTTCTACAGAGACTGGAATGACTACAAATATGGCTTTGGAAATCTGAGCGGGGAACACTGGCTAGGTATATCAAATTTTGAATGAGAAAACTGCTAATGGAATAGTTTTAATAAGCCTTATTTGTGCTCTAGCATTTAATTACACCCAAAATATGTCCAATTTAAAGATTCGATAAAATTGGTGCCATACTATTTACCTCCATAGACCCTAATAATTTGTATGTTAAATTTTTTTCATCTCTACGTATTAAAATATTCTCACCTATAGGTCCTTTAAGAACTCTATTTTTTAACACAAGTCATTGGTCAGAACATACCAATATGTCCAAAACCATACACACTTCGCAAAGATGAATGAACACATGCAAATGCTTTGTCTCAGTCAAAGATTGGTTTACCTAAATGTCTACCTAAATGTCGCCCTATTCCAGGTAATAACAAGATGTATCTTCTCACCTCCCAAGACGACTATGAGCTGCGTGTCGACATGGAAGACGCTGCAGGCATTTGGGCCTTCGCCCAATACGACCACTTTGGGATCTCATCGGAAGCGACAAAATACCGGCTAAGATTGGGAAATTATTCTGGAAACGCGGGTGAGTACCTGTAATAAGTGCTTGTAGAAATATGGTAATAAAGACAACCTAAGACGAAATCACTGTAACATTAATTGGCAGCATGCCGACGAGAAGCTACGCCGAGTGGAAAAGTAATGTCGCAGTGGTCCAGTTTGACAACAATTAAGTCCCAAGCATTATCGTAAAAGACCTCAATCTCTCCAAAATAGCCATTCTATGATTTTTTTTCCTTAATGCTTTAAACACAACCTGTAAACAGTGCAGTCATAACTTGTCACAATAATTTACAGGCGATTCCCTCCATGCTCACCGTGGGTATACTTTTGCAACAAAAGACAGAGATAATAACGGGAACTGTTCGCAGACATTCAAGGGAGCTTGGTGGTATTATTGTACCACCAGCGGTACACATGGTTTTAGTCCCGTCCGGTCCGTTCCGCCGGCTCCGCCGGCTCCGAGGCCATGTTACCGTTACCGCTTCTCCTCCTAGACGGTAAGGGCCCCCATACCCATCTCTTGGATTTAGGTCAATTATAATCTCAACTTGTTCCACGTAAAATTTGGGCTTTGTCGGTATTGG